GATTGAATGCAAAACCGAACTTCTGCTTCTGTTGGAGGATCTCATGACACTGCCCACGGAGCTTCAGTCGGAGATGAAGCCTGGTTAGCGCTAGGCCAGCTGAACTGTTCGCTGAAGTATTCTGCTCAGCGATTGAGCCGTTGATCCCTATCGTGAATAGCTCGTCTCCCCTTATCGCAGACTGTTTCACTAACTGGAGTTCGCCGACCTCCCGTATTGCGTATCAGTCGTAACAGTCTTTGACTATTCCTTGATGCAGCTGCTACTTCCATTTCACTAGTTATTGTTGTCCACCAGTTCTCACGATCCTTCTTGGGGCTCTTCGTGAGCCGACGTTGTAAATGCCACCTAACTCTATTTTGATCCTGACAGGTAGGGACTTTCCGTTTTTGCTCCATCAGGGCTACTGACTCCTGAGATATCCAATACCTCCGACGGGTTTGAGTCTCAGACCCACAAGCAACATTCGCTGCGGAATGCATTGCTTGTCTAATCTGATCCAACTGTTCGTCTACATCGTCACGCTGAGGCGCACTTAGCTTACGCACTAGCTCTGACTAAGAGTGCATGAACTGCTGGAACGGATAGCCGTTGATGAGCTATCCGAGCTTGCTGGTTTTGTCGCCGACCAGTCAGTCGGAGAGTGAACTGCATCAAAACTAATGCGTGGTCAGACTCAACGCAGGTGATTAAATAGGACGTGCAACTTTGCACTGAGTCACGCCAACGGTAACTTACTGCTATAGGGTTGATTTGAGTTAGCGTACCAGTTGAACCGGAGCGCCACGTTGCCGTCCGTCGACAGCTGTGTCAGAAGTTGGTGCTTGATAGGAACAAATGATGGTCTGCGCAGAACTGAAGAAGTCGATCGCCGTTATTTGTTCGTTGGCAGGGCAGAGCACAACTACCGCCTAGACAAGCTTCTGATGCGCTCAGTTTTCCAATCTGCGCGTTGAAGTCACCTGCAAGTACAACTATGCCGAAGCTTCGACTCATCCTAATGGGATCGGTGAGTTTATCGTAGAAAGCGTCGTTTTGTGTATCAAAACTGGAATTGGTCGTTGCGTATGCCGATATGATGAACAAAACCCTTTTAGTGTTGGTTCCCTTTCGGACGCTGATTGAACCCTGGAGACGCACTGCACATAAACGACTGTTGACGGGGATCCAATCGATAACGGAGGACTCTGCCCTTTTACTCAGTACAATACCTACCCCGCACTGACCTGCTGAACGAGCTTCATCGTCGCCTGATGTGCGAAGAACGTATCTCGCCGACAAATCTGGCGCGCTCAAGTGGCTTAGGGTAGTAGGATCCTGAATTCGAGTTTCTGACACGCAGTGAATATCGATCCCTCAGGATTCTATTGTACGAGCCAGACAAGCTTGTTGACCTAGCTGGATCAAAGTCCTCACGTTCAAGTCCCCCAGATTAAGTGATTGCCGAGGCTTCAGAATCTGCAATCCATTTTGTGGTAAATCACTTACGATGCTACTTGGCACTGACCTTTGGCGAGTGACATCCAAGTTGCTTGCGGGACTATTACAAGTCGGAAGAGGGAGTAAGAGAGAGGGTTAGGTTCGTTTTCTTCACATTTTTCACTCTGTTGCACAGTCACCACGAAACATACCGATATTGGGCAACTCGTTCGGGTTGGACAGTTGTGCGACCAAATTAGATTCCTCCTCAGTGGACAAATCGATTTTGTCGTCCATGTTCACCCGGGCACTGTTCATCGCTTCCAAATAACGCCGTACACCGACAAAAAATTCATCCACATCCGAAGACTGACCTGTTTTGCCCAGTGTACCCCAATCCTGACCGGGGACGAGGGGGAGGGAGGGCAGCAATACAAATGAAGAAGAATGTAAGATTGATTGTAACACCTTTTTTACCAGTTCACCAAGCCGGTAGAGTGATAATGTAGGGCTAGTTGTGAAATTCCAGAAGACCGGTGCTAGCTCGAGCAGGATTGATTATCAAAAACCACAGCCATGGCACGAATAATTTGGTGTGCCTATAATATGTTATTTCANGGAACAATGAATGGACCAGCTCGTGGTTTTCATTTTGAACACAGCAATTCGCTCTAAGTGGGAAACATTTGATATATTACCAAGGACTTATAGACGCTTCTTGCAGACACACAGATGTATGTAACGGCGTTCTGAAAGAAAACCTAAACCTGGAGATTATTTAGGAAGAGACAAAGAGGAACTGACTTCACCCGATGATGTCCAACTTACGTCCATGTTTTCCAAAAGTGGAATGACCAGCTTCTCAAAGTAATCCACAAGTGACTGGACTAGATTTCCTCCACTGCCATCCAATTGTTGGAACACGACTTCATTGGCAATATTGGCCACAGTGAGGGCCTTCTCAGTTACTCGTAAAAAGATGTAGCATACGCCTCGTAAGCACTGTAAAAGGGAATTCAAGACCGTGGCATTGAAAATGTAAAAATAAAGGGATAGAAGTATATGATCCACCTGATTGGAAATGAAATAAGTCAATTCTTATTAAATAATCTTTGATCTAACTGAGCCATGAACTACGAGGGGCATACCCACAGTGAACTACAATAAGCATAAACGACTTCTACACTATTTCCCATCATAACTACTGACTAGCATTGAAGTAGTCAATTACTAATGCGACTCAGCGTATAATCCACAGTTGACCAGAAAGATCATATTAGGATGACCTCCGCAGAAACCTACCTGTAGGTGTTTCGTTCTCAACGATCGAGTGATGGCACTAGGTCTAGCACAATACACAAGAAGAGAGAAAATAGCCAAAGTTTGGCAGAAACTGACAAAGAAGGAAAACTTCTTATGTTCGAGTATAATAAATAGCCCTGCGTGAGATTTAGTCTCATCAAAACGGCAGTGAAACCGGATTATACTCCCAGATTGTGGGAACCATTATGGACCTATATTGTATAGAGATCAGTGCACATAAAAAGATGAATAACCCTTTTCATAACGAAACTTACCTCATGTGAGCCGTGAGTGATAAGCAGCTTCGCGGGCATTGTTGTTCCCTCTGAACTGGTGCTCTGCACAAAACATGTAAAAAGAAGACAATTTAAAATTTGACAATAGATATTCCGATGCCAGTTCAGAATCTCGACAAAAGAAATCATCATCTGAAATAACTGCACAAACACCCAACCAACCAGCAGCATTCCAAGTTCATAGAAAGAAATCAGAATTTGATTAAAACAATCAAGTCAAGTCAAGTCAAGTCGTGAGATGCTTCATTCATCTTAATGGGTACATGTTTGGCTCAGTGCGTATCCGGGTCATTTGTCATCGCACACAGTCACAGAGAAATAATAGACACTCGTCCGAGTATATACAAGTTTTTTTAAATGACACCTGATTACGGAAGCGGATCACTATTCTTTGGGTTATGCGTGTGATAGATAAGGAATGTCTGGTGGAATATTGTTGAAGAATGTTGCGAAAAATGTAAAATATTTGTCGGCGATAAAGATGAACAATTGTGAGTAGAAAATGCCGCTTTTGCGTAAAATGTTTTTGCCAGACCGAAATAGAATCAAGTAGTCATTAACTCACAAACCGGCAAATAAAACTAATTAGCATTAAAGAATATGCGTGACAAAACGGGTGATCAAATTCAGTGGAGCGTTTATAAATCTCAAGCGGAAATTAGTAGAACACAATAATGAAATCTCTTTAGAGGCACAGTTAAAATATGAAGTCCCCATGAGATCTTGTCAGATAGCGACACCAAGGTATTGTAACGAACGAACAGGGGAAACAGACTGGTTGCCGACATAGAGTACAGAACAGTAGAGAACAACCGTAACCGTTCGCCTTCGACTGATGAGAAAATGGTATCTCTACATTTAGAGGCGTTAATAAATAATTTGGAATAAGAAGACCACAAGCTTAAGGCAGATCATTTGGTTTTAATCTGTGAGAAGCGGAAATCACCTTGGGTTTGAAACCCATGATGACATTATCAGCATACTTAGTGAGAAAGACTTCTGGATCAATGGATAGATTTCGAATATAAAAAATAGAAAAGAAAATGGGATTGAGCACCTAGAGCACCTCTGAATGCACGGGTTGCGAGTCAGAAAATTCTCCAAGAAACTTGGCAAAGCGTGCTCTACCAAAAAGCCCGAAATGGTCCACTATTTTCATCATGAATGCTTATACCAAATGTATGGTGTTTTCCAACGATTCGTATTCCTTTCCAGGACATCTTAATCGGTTTTCAATGTGTTACGAAGACAGCTTCATCCTACTCATGAGTAGTAAACATGGGAATATAAATTTATGTTTGTAAGCAGTCTGACCAACATAAAGATTTGCCGAAGTCCTCTTTATGAAATAATATTGGGATATTCAATTCGATTGTATGCGGTCATTTGTAACAGTAAAACAGAAATGCTAACTGACAAGATCGAAAGTTATGGCGTCTCGGTCTTCCAAACTTGTTCAGTCTCATCAGCAGTGCAAATCTATCGACCCACCTTGGAAAAGAACCCAGGTGACATGCAAGTATGCTGCCCACCTCAGAACCCACCGGTCAACTGGACAGACTGTTTCACTTATTCAATACCCCAACCTCAGTTAGATTCCCACTGCTGATTGGTCCAAGTCATGGTTAAGCAGTACATGTTTTGGGTTACGAAGTACTGAATGACGGTAACTGCATCGCTTTTACTCGTTTTCCCAAGAACTAACAGGATATGTAGATATATTTTGCATCCGTGTACATTCAGCTATTATTCAAAGGAAAATTCCGCTCGAAACGATAGTTGGCACTCACCGCTTGATAGAAGAACAACAATCGACGTGATCCACCGGCCTGGAAGAACTCCTCAAACGCATCCCACTGTGAACGAGCGTGAAAATCGGTCAATGGAAAGCTTAGAATTTCACGAAAAGATAATTTACAAAAAGGTGAATGTAGCAAAGACGACGAAGTTTACAGACATCCATGAAAACCTGATCAGGGTGAGTTGGAATAAAATTTGCGAACAAAGTGTAATCACAGACGTTTCTTTTGATCAACTTTTTCCACTCTACCGTGTCTCTCTCGTCCGCATATGTGTGTATTTGTTATTTTTGAGACGCTCATCATACGTTATGACAGAAATGGGATGAAACAGAACTCAACGAACTCACTCTTTCTTCACTGAGTAGCATTTCCGTGATCTGGGAGACATCCAAACCGGTGACTTGGCTGAGCTATTTATGAGATCAAAACGCAAAAATGTTATTGATTAAATAATTCTTCAATTGTCAA